AGGGGCGCACATACGGAAGCAAAATTTTGAATAAAGCGTCGGAAGTATGACGACAAGCCGACAAAACTTCTAAGTTTCTTCAAGTTCTTTGGCTTCGGAAAATTGGCGACTGCTCGAAGCTTGGCAAGGTCGGGAAGTATGCCATCCCGCGATACGACGTGGCCAAGAATGGTGAGCTGCCGGGCACCAAAATGACGCCTCTTGAGGTTGAGATGAAGGCCGGCGTCAGTGAGGCGTGTGAGGACGTGCTCGAGACGATTTAAATGGGTGTCGAAATCGGTGGAAAAGACAACTACGTCATCGAGGTAGCATAAACATGTGTTCCACTTGAGGCCTCGTAAAATAGTGTCCATCATTCTTTCAAAAGTGGCTGGAGCATTACAAAGGCCGAAAGGCATAACGGTAAACTCGTATAATCCATCAGGTGTGACAATTGTTGTTTTCGGTCGGTCAGATGCTTGCATAAGAACTTGCCAGTATCCAGACCGTAAATCCAGCGAAGAGAAGTATTCTTCTCCCTGCAAACAGTCAAGGGCGTCGTCTATTCGCGGTAACGGGTAAACGTCCTTACGGGTGATCTTGATTAAACGTCGATAATCCACACAGAACCGAATGGAGCCGTCCTTCTTCTTAACAAGAACGATCGGTGACACCCAGAGACTGTTAGAAGGCTGGAGCATGTCAGCAACCTGGTCGTCAATAAGACGGCCCTCCGATGCTGAGACTCGGTAGGGACGCTGTCGTAGAGGCGTATGGCTTCCTGTGTAAATCTTGTGAGATATGTTCGATGTGCGACTGAGGCCAGAAGCGTGGCTGTCAAAAGAAGTTCGAAACTTTTGCAGCAGGTTGACCAACTGGCTTCGTTCTGAAGAAGACCTTGCGACATCGATGGAGCGGTGGAAAGCGTCATGGAGTGACTGGTCAACAATAGTGTCGGAAATGAGTGCGCTGAGGTCCGTAGAAAGTAAACTAGATGGAGCGTCAAAAATGTGACGGGCGTCGATCGTATGCACGTGACTGAGACATTCACCATGGAATAAAGGTAAAGGCCCTTCTAGCGTATTGTAGACGAGCGTCTTGGTGACGCCATGGTGGAGAGTAAGGAGAGCAACGGGCAGTAGAGAACATTTGCATTGAATGAACAGTGCAGAGGGCGTAAATAGAAAATCACCATCGGAAATAGCGTCGCATGACACAGTCACCAGCAGAGAAGAGCGTGGTGGTACGGTGATGTCGTCGGAAACAGACAGTTTATAATACGGCAGGGAGGTTTCGACAGTGTCAACATCAGGGAGTCAATGACGGCATTATTATTCGCAAGGAAGTCTCAGCCGAGTATCATGTCATGGGAACACGAGGGCAGCACTACGAATTCGACGATATACGCAATCTTTTCGATGACGACTCGTGTGGTACAGGCTGCGAGAGGTGTTACACTTTGTGCGTTAGCCATTCTGAGAGAGAGGCCGGATAATGGCATCAGAACTTTGCGGAGTTTGCGGCACAGGTCTATCGAAAGGACAGAGTGGCTCCGGTGTCGACAAGCGCCATGACGACGATACCATCGACTGCCACTTCAATGACATTAGCTGGACAGGGGCGAGGACTTGTGCATGGCAACGGGGACGCAGTTCGTGCCTCGGGAACTGCGGCCGTTAGTTTTCCTGGTCGGTGGGTCCGGAACGGCGACGCATAGGGGAAAGCGAACGTTGCCGTGGAGATGGGGAGCGGCAGGTGGGGCCGAGTGGACGATCAGAAGGAAAGGAAGAGAAAGAAGGGCTTGAAGGCATAGAAGAAAACTGAGAGTCGAAAGAGGGCCTTCGTCGAATGTTCTGAGCAGCCTGGCGACGACGACTTTAACGTGCCACGTGGCCAACACCTCCACAAGCAAAATATATTGGACGGTTGTTGTAGGTCCACCATTGGTCGGAGTAGACTCCGACTTGCGGCTGGCGGGCAGAAAACTGCAGCCGAGGTAGTATCGGCATTGGCAGCGATGAATAGGTCGGCGGCGAATACATAGGCGCTGGCTGGAACGCAGGCTGTCGAGGTCGAGCAACGGCCTCGGCGTACGTGAGAGGTGCGGCGACTGGCGGCAGTTCACGGGCGGGAGGAAGAACTTGTGCGACTCGGTCTTGAATGAAGTCGCAGAGTGTAGACGTCAATCTGCGTGGTTGATCGAGTACGCAGGACATCAAAGAGAGCTGACGAGCGACCTCAGCGCGGATGAACTCTTGGATCTTGGAGAGAAGAGAGGCATGGTCTTCTCCTATGCCAAGAGTGGACAGGCTAGACAAAGAGTCGTCGAGCACCGAGGGACGTCGGGTGGAAAGACGTTGCCTGCGCAACTCGTCAAAACTCTGGCATAACTTGGTCAGTTCGAGGACAGTACGAGGATTCTTAGAAAGCAACATTTGGAAAGCGTCGTCCTCAATGCCCTTCATGATGTGCTTGATCTTAAGCTCTTCGGACATCGACTTGTTGACTCGCTTGCAAAGGTCCAGAACGTCCTCAATATAGCTTGTGAAATTCTCACCAAGCTGCTGGGACCGAGTATGCAAGCATTGTTCGGCACGGCGTTTGTGTCCCTCAGGCCGTCCGAAAACTTGTGTGAGGCTCGTTTTGCAGACAGACCATGTAGTGAGTTCCGCTTCGTGGTTTATAAACCACAGCTTGGCCACGTCCGACAGGTAGAAGGAGGCGTAGGTCAACTTGGCGGCGTCATCCCATTTGTTGTGAGTACTCACTTGCTTGTACATTGAAATCCAGTCATCAACGTCCTTGTCTTCTGGGCCTGAGAAGACAGGGGGATCTCGCAGACACAGAGAACCGGCGCAGAGAACAGTAGGCGGTGCTGATGGAGGAGTTGGAGCGGCGCTTGCGTCGGTAGGCATAATGGACTGTAAAATGCGATTCCGAAGCTCCGGGTTGATCGAAACCCAGCAGACTTCACCACTTGTAACTGGGGTTTATTTGCAAAGCAGAACGCAGAAGGCGAAGCAGGCAGCAGCATCTGGCCAAGCGCAGCAAGCACGAGCTTATGCTGATGGCGATGCCCCTGAGGCGCCGAAAAATGCCGCTGAGGCCTCTCTTCTTCACTACTAGTTTGCCTGTAAAGGTGGTTTCACTGCAATTTAGCGGTGCCAACCAGTGAAAACACCTACTTATAAAAGATTTGCTCTGCCGTGAAGCCTCCTTCAAATTTAAAGGAAATCTGCCACACTTAATGAACATGGTCAGAAAACGCTGCCGATCGGTAGTCGAGGCTACCGAAAACACGAGGCAAATATTTTAGCGCAGCACGTGGCCAGTAATTCAAAATAAATTTTCAAAGCTAAAAATTCCTTTCTTTCCTCGGCAAATCACACTACAAGCTCAAAAATCTCTTGTCACAGCCAAGAAGGAATATATGGTTCTGGTCACAGAAATTGGCTGATTTGAGCATGGTGCGCTTGTCATTACCGAGGCTGCCGCTTGTCCACGAGTATGTGCGTGATCGCACTGAAAAGCTACGTATTTGAAAAAAAAAAAAAAAGAGGCGCTCAAGGTTTCGAGGTGCGTGTGGAGTATTTTCTTTCATCGTGTCATTCCTCCCTGCTGAGCTTCCAGGTAGTTTATCTAGACGAGAAGAGAGAATGCAATTGCAACATGCGACAAATTTTTGGAACTCTGCTTGTACAGGACTGATTTTGGAAACTTTGCGGTGGTAAATTTGTGAGGCGACAAGCACGTTTACTGGCTCCATGCCTACTTGAAAAAGTGTTGCAGGGCCCCTTTAAAGGAACATGTTACCCTTAAATCAATTCTTCATTTCATTAAGCTTGTTATGACCGCTTTTATGATCCAAGTATATTAAATTTTAAAATATTTAGTATCCTACAGGTTATCACTCGCATCCTACAGTTTTTTTTTTAATGAAAAAAAAAGTGGCATTTGCATAGAGCCCCTATTTCAATTCAAAAGAAACATTGTGCAGGTTAGTTGGGTCATGATAAATATTCCCTTTTTTTATATGTTATACACACCATTCAAATTCGATTCAAAATTATTCTATCAAAATCGCTATTCGCTTTGAATCTAAAACTCACTTTTCGCACAAGCCTAATTTTTACCTTGGCTAAAGTGTTGAATCGTGAAGTTTTGTAGACGACCGGTGACTGTCACCTGCCCGCAACGAGTGCAAACATTTTTGCAAACAGGACACATCATTATTTACACAGCACGCACCACAGGATATTCTCAGTTGTACCATCCGTAAAGGTCAATCAACATTGTCGATGCCTTTCTTAACCAACAATACACACCACCATAAACGGCATATTTTTGAAGACGCCGCCACTATTCCTGACACGGGCTGCCACGTGTGCTTACTTCTTTGAAACCGCCAGCCAGCGTGGCAAGTACTTCGTCACGCAGTTTACTACTCGGCTACTATTCTCCTACCACATCTAAACTTGCCACAGCAAGTTCAACCTTAAGTGTTTAAAAAAGAAATCACTCGTTCCAAGCATTGCGCAAGTGTACCGTCCTCAGGCACCAGCGGGAATGGTTTGCCAACTGCCACCGTGCACATGCGCAGGTGACGTCACGCTGCGACATACCCCTGTAGAGGTCTATTGCTGAATAACAAAAAAGCTGCATCCTGAAGAAAAGATCAGGCATCGTCTCTTCTAGGAATCTGTAGATGTGCTCGAAACAGCTGAAATCCACGGCATTGTGCGTGCTTGAAACAGCTGAAATCCACGGCATTGTGCGGTACTGCCTTGAATGTAGCAGAATGGTAATAACACTGAAGAAATACAATTTATTTTCATTTTCAATTTTCTTCTGCTGAACTGAAAACGAAAAAAATTTTGCTCCTCTAGCCTTACTTTTATTTGCCAGTGTTAGTGGCCCTATCTTCAAGTAACTGTCTTTTGAGCAATATGTGGGTTTAGTATCCAAACAATTTGCTTCTGTGTGATGTTTCTAACTTGTATCTGCTCTTACGTGTGTTGCAGGTGGGCTACCGACGCAATGGCCACAACGAAGTGGATGAGCCCATGTTTACACAGCCACTCATGTACACCAAAATCCGCAAGCAAGCAACCCTCCTCGACATTTACTCACGCAAATTAGTCGATGAAGGCGTTGTCTCTGAAAAGGAGATTGAGGTGATTGACAGCTTACTTGGCAGCGTCTTGTGTGCTAGTGGCATGTGACAACTGTTTGATGTGGGTATTACTCAGCGCACAGTTTACGCAAGCTTGCATCGCCCATCACCTGGCAAGAGATGCACACCCAACAGCCTTGTGAAGCCAGTTGGGCTCACCTTTTGTTATTGTAGAGAAATGCAAAAACACAATGAAAAGCAGATGATTGTCGCTGAGCAGTGCTTTTTGTGCTTAGTAATAATTGTCTGGTGCCACTCCACATTGAGCCTGCATAAGACGCATGTACTGCTGCTTCATATTGAAATACAGTCGACTCTCGTTAATTCAAACTCGAAGGGACCTCTGAATTTTGTTTGAATTATCAAGAAGTTTGAATTTTCATAAGTTTTCAGGTAGATGGCTCTGGGTGAGGTGACCCTACACATTATGATTAGGCATTAATTTTATCACATTTAAAAATTTTTCAAGTGTTTTTAAGCCCTAACTGCATCCAGTTAGCAGAGGTGTAAAGTCCACAAGTATATTGGCCATTTACTGCTGATAGATCTTTTAATTAAAGAAATAGTGAATTGCCAACTGCTTCATTGCTACGTATAGGTATGTGCCTTCAGCACAAAGCTTTTTATACCACTTGAAAAGCGTCGTGGTTTACCATGTATATGCTTTGTTTCAAACGTTTGTTTACTCGCAAAGTCTTTCCTTGAAGGCCTCTGCTGCTTATTTTTTATACTCGGACTGTTGGGAATATATAAGCACACAAATTCTTAAATATTAGTGGGAAAGCAGCTGGTATGGACCTGCAAAAAGTATGAATTAATCTAATGATGGAGTATGAATTAAGAGGCTTTTAATTACATTGAAAGAATAGAGGTCAAACCGGAAAATTGAATTTTGTTTGAATTAAATGAAAGTATAAATTATCAGTTTGCATTATCGCAAGTCTACTGTATGTGCTTTGTACTGCTGTGGTATGGTCGCTCTTGTACTTCATGACCTGGTTGTACCTTGCCTTCATCAGTGGCCACATGTCTGCAAAAACCAGTTGTGGGCTGCAGCATGCTGGCAAAGAAAACAGCTAGTTTTTAGAGACACACTATTATGCCCTGCTGTCAGTTGCCAGATAGCTTTCTTTATTCGCAAAAGGTCACAAATGAACAGGGGTGTGTGCCTGTAACTGATTGTATTATGTTTTTTCCACTGTACAAGCTTCTTGCAGCAACACTTCTTTAGGGAACATGTGGCTTTGCTACTATTTAGCAGCGCCACTGAAATATGTACCAAGTGTAAGCTTAAATTTGTGTGATCTACAAGCGTTGTTTTCAGCAGGACAGCACGTGCTATCTCTGTGATTTGAGCTAGAGGTCCGTTCACAGCTGGGCAGGCTGGGCAATGTAGGTGGCTGTTTGTGGAATTGTTCTACATGAGCTAGGCCTTTTATTGATGAGAAACTTTTAACATATAAGGTCTGTTAAAAAGTATCCTAACTTTGGTGGAAAAAAAGAAAACTAGTGTAATTTGAGCGTGAGAAACCTAATCCCCCTCAAAGTAGTGCCCTTGGGACTCCACACACTTCTCCCAGCAGTGCTGCCATTGTTGGAACTATTCTGAGACGTCCTCTTTCTGAGCGAAGTTTAGCTCAGCTGTCGTTGCAGCCATAATGTCCTCCAATGTCTGAAATCACTCTCCTTTAAATGTCCTCTTGATTTTGGGAAACGGCCAGAAGTCTCAGGGGGCCATATCAGGAGAGCAAGGAGCCTGTTGAACTACATGAGTCTACCATTTCACCAAAAAGTCTGAACCTAGTGTGAGGAGTGTGGAGGAGCATTGTCGTAATGGATGCGCCAGTTTCTTGTTGACCACAACTTGGGTCTTTTGCGTTGCACAGCATCACGCAGGCGAGGGAGGACATCCCTGTAGTACTCTTTGGTGATTTTTTGACCATGTGGTGCATACTCGTGGTGTACCACACCGTAGGAGTCAAAGAAAGCACTCAGCCTCACTTTGACGTTGCTGCACACTTGGTTGGCCTTCTTTGGTCTTGGTGACGCGGAATGATGCTTCCACTGTGACGACAGGGATTTGGTTTCCGGGTTGTACCCGAACACCCGTGTCTCATCACCACTGATACTAATGGTGTTCATGAAGTTAGGGTCACTGCTTGTGAAATTCAGTATGTCCTGTGAGACTTCAACACAAAGTTGCTTTTGCTCCACTGTGAGCAGTTTCGACACGAATTTCACCGCAACTCTCTTCATGGCCACATCTTTAGCCATAATGGAATGTACAGAGAAAGTGCTGATGCTCATCTCTGTCGCAATTTTTTGGATAGTCGCACGATGGTTCCTGCATCACCACAGCGTTCACTTTGGCACTCACCTGGTCATTTCGGTATGTTGATGGCCAACTGGAGCGTGGCTCGCTTTGCACCAATCTGCGGCCGTCTTTCAACCAGTTGTACCACTCCTTTATGTGTGTGTGGCTCATAGCATTGTCCCCGAAAGCCGTCTTGATCTTCCCAATGCTTTCCACTGAGCTGTCACCTAGTTTCTGGCAAAGTTTGATGCAGTAGCGCTGCTCTAGTCACTCTATCATTTTCCTTGCAATGAAAAACCGACGAAAGCACTGCACACTCCCTCACTCAAATGCTGCGTCCCAGTGACTGAAGCTATTGGCAGGTGGGGAAAAAATTCACACATGCGCTCAAAAGTTCAAGGTTCGTTGATGCAAGCGTACTTGTTAAAAAAAAAAAAAAAAAAAGTCGGATACTTTTCTAACAGACCTCGAACGCTGCTGTAGTTCTTGTTAAAGGTTCTGAGACATTCTCAACTTCCATCATGCAGGAGGAAAAGGAGAGGTACGAAAGCATCCTGTCCGAGGCTTACAAAAATGCTGAGAAAGAGGACAAGTCATACAACAGGGACTGGCTCGATTCGCCCTGGAGTGGTGCGTTTTGTTTGTTTCTGCCGTGTTGCATCTCCCTAATGGGCATTGTTTTTGTCACGATGAAAATTACACAGGCACTCCTGATAAAAACTCGGCTTTCACAGTTGCTGCAGTGTTCTGCGTAAAGTCCAAGCGCAGTAATATAAGATTGCACTTCACACTCAATACAATAGGTGATCGAGAGAATGCCTTTGAAAATGCAGTGCGATTGAAAGGAAGACGGTTTGCAGGAGATGAGGTACAGCAAATATACTGCAGAAGCCGGCTTGTAATTGAGCCTACTGGTTTACAATGCTAAAAGCTTTGGACATATACCTTTTCCCGAGCACACCTTAACTCTTTCGTTACCGCGCGAAAATGGTTATTTTTCATATGTCTCGGAAAGATTGTTTTTGCCAGTTGCGAAAGTACTCCAGCACACATTGCAGCATACCAAATTTTGCACGAAGAAATGCTCTTTCCAAAAAAATATACAGTGAAATCCCGTTATAACGAACCTCAGAAAAACGATTTTTTCAGATTAACGAATATTTCGGAAATCCTCTTCGAAATGTCCATTGGTTCAATGTAAAAATATTTCACTACTACGAATTTCAGAATAACGAATGTTTCAGAATAACGTATCAAATTTTATCACCCTGGTACCTTAAGAGCACTTCAAAATAACGAATTTCTAGCGTAAAAATTACGTGCGGCAGTCTAAATGCCCAGCGCCATATGTGGCACTATCATCATCATCAGAGCTCCTGCTCATTTCTCCATGCATTGCCTTATGCTAAATGCGCACTAGCCTGGCTAGCCTTATCGCCATCGCCAGTACCTTGTTTTCGATTTTTTTTTTTTTTTTGCATGCTCGTTGAGCCAGGTTGAGCCTAACCTCGCCGCCTTTGTTTTGTTACGTCGACCGGCAACGTCGCACGATTGTCGTACGGCTTTCTCGTTTTAAAGGTTAGAGTGATTCGTTTCTGCGTTCGCGATGAGCTTCGGAAGCAGCGCGAAAAAGAAACGGAGGCAGTTTTCTTTGAAAGAAAAAGTGGATATTCTTTCTCAAGTGGACGCCGGTAAAAAACGAATCCACATTGCGAACGAGATGGGGGTTGCACCATCAACTGTCGCAACCATTCTGAAGGACCGACAAAAGATCCTCGAGCTGCACCGAGGGTCCCAACTTGCACCGTCAAGAAAACAGCTCCGACTTGGGAATTTCCAAGAAGTGGATGCTGCAGTACTGACTTGGTTCAAGGACGCGCGTTCTCAAAATGTGCCGGTGTCGGGACCCATGCTGCAGGAAAAAGCCCGGCAATTCGCTGATGCTTTGGACATCACAGGCTTCGAAGCAAGCGCGGGGTGGCTTCATCGTTTCCGTGAAAGGAATGGAATCACCTGGCAAGTGGTGTCTGGTGAAGAGAAGGCGGCAAACGCAGCAAGCGCTGCTGCATGGAGGGACGAGAAGTTCCGCGAAATCGTCGCTTCATACTCCGAAGATGATATATTCAATGCGGACGAAATGGCGCTCTTCTATCAAATGCTTCCTGATAAAAAAATGCATTTTAAAGGGAAGAGCTGCAAAGGCGGCAAGCAGTCCAAAGTCCGGATTACGGTATTGTTATGCTGCAATTCCACAGGCACTAAGAAGCTGAAGCCCTTGGTGATCGGCAAATACAAGAAGCCTCGCTGCATGAGGAACGTTGTTTCATTGCCGTGCGATTATCGGGCTAATTCACGCGCGTGGATGACACGAGAGTTATTCTCTGAGTGGCTACTAAAGGTGGACGATGAGATGAGGAGCGCAGGTAGGAAAATTCTGATTATCGCGGACAACTGCTCGGCGCATCTTGTTAATGTCAGGCTGACAAATGTACAGCTGGAATTCTTGCCTCCGAACTGTACGTCCTTGCTCCAGCCACTGGACCAAGGCATCATAAAAAGTGTCAAGGCCCATTACCGGACACGCCTGGTTCAGCGATTGCTGATAAATCTTCGGATGAAGCTGCCTACCTCCATCAATGTGCGACAGGCCACAGAAATGGTTACCGGGGCCTGGTGGAGCGTTACATCGACCACCATCCAGAACTGCTGGAGGAAGGCAGGCTTGGTAGTAATGCCATCTGAATCTGAACAAGGCAGCGAACAAAGCGACGCGAGTGGCATGTGGCAAGAAGTCGTCGAAAGACTCGCGATGGATGCCTCGGTGACGTTCGAGGACTATGTGCAGTGCGACGACGAAGCATGCACGTCAGCCGAACTGACGACCGATGACATCGTCAGTGCTGTTCGTGGTGATAACAGCGACGAGGACGCCAATGGCGAAGACGACGCTGAGACCGCGCCCATTAGCCAACCAGAAGAATCGCTTTCCAACGCCGACATCATGGAATGCGTGCGAAAGATGCGCACTTACCTTGGCAGGTGCAGCAATGCCACCGAAGCAGAGCATAAGAATGTGGACAACTTCGAAGCGTTCGTCCTGCGGCAGTTGAGCGGCACCCGCCAGGCCAAGATCACCGACTTTTTCAAATAAACGTGCGCTCATTCCGGAATACTTCGCGTTTTGTTTCTTTTCACGCTCGTCATAAAATCATGCGTTTGCGGATGTGTACACAGCAAAGGTAGGCGACTCCTTTTGTTGCATTTACGATTTTTAATGCGAATTTTCGATGTTTTCACTATAACGATATTTTAAAATAACGAACTATTTTCCGCGGTCCCTTCAAATTCGTTGTATCGAGATTTCACTGTATGTTGTAAATAACAAGAGTATTTTGTAAAAGTGAAAAGTGTGCAGTTCTTAGTTCCCAGCTGGTAGAAAGTGCAATAAAAAGCACTATGTATTCAAAAATATTCAAAACAAAGAAAATTCAGAATACACATATTGAAAATAAATGGCCCAGAAAGAATACAATAAATTATAAATGTCGTACAAACTGTTTCTATTAATATAGACAAGGAAAATCAGAACCAAGGTGCTGCTGCGCTGCTCGTGTCATGCGGTGAAGCATTACTTGTTTTTTTTTTTTCATGAGACACGAGTGAACACAGACACATCTGTGTTTTTTGTGGTGAGAGCCTCCTGGTGTCCAGTATTAGGTGTATGCCTGTAATGTGAATAGTCGCTCTGTAAATCAGATTTCCAATGTTCTTTCGTTTAGCATCACCTCTCTCCATGAGCCACCTCACTTCGCATAGTTGGCGTTTTAATATATCAATCCAAGCATATTTCCTTGCATTTTGGATATTGTACTAATATCGCACGCAGGTATAAAACGTTTCACACTGATCTGTAGTCAGGGCCAAGTTGTGCTCTGGTGGCCTTCTTGTCGTGAGAAGCCCTGCAGCTGGTGCCAGCAAACCGCACTCCAGGGACGTGTTGCTATACACAGTAGCTATAAAATTGTGCACAAAGGGCAGAAGCTGCGCACTTGCGACGGAGGAGACAACTTGAGGCGGTAATGAAAACTGACACATAAACGGCTGTGAATGTTTCAGGGAATACATCACCCCTTGACGCTCAGGTGCGGTCGTCCTCGTACTCTTAAGCTTGTCGTCACTCAATTTAATTAAATGCGGTTGCACTATAATTTCTTACAGAGCGCGCCTCGCGGTGCAGGTGCGCACCCATGGGCGCGTGACAATGCCATAGGAGTGATTAGTGACACCTAATGCGGCCCTGTGCCTGATATAACGATGCAAGCGAAACCTAAGCTGCTGTAAACTGGCTAACAAGGCTGCCTCCACACTTTATATATGCGGTGGACCTTTGGAAATAATTTTTGTAAAATAAATTTTCTCTGACTCCTAGCAACGACTCTCTATTGAATAGCTGGAATAGCTGGCATGGATTTCTGGCAATTATTAATGCTCAACAATGTCAGATTGCGAAGCTGACAACTTAATTTGATATTTGGCATGCAAAGGCTCTTTTTGTTACCTTTTCGTGACTGAACTTTGATGTTACTTGTAGTGACACGTATCCCGAAGGAGTACGGCCACTAGCGTGGGTCCGGTCTTAGCGAGCCGCAGGGCACGCGCTAACCTTCGCCGTGGCGAGAACACCATACTGCTCAAGGTCGCAACACTTTATTGTCTGTGGCAACACCAAAATGCAGTACAGCCCATTGCAAAGGCATGGCGGGAAAGCAAATGGGCTTATCCACGCCACGGCGAAAAGTACTACACAGGGTGCCACGAGCACGTACTACACAGGGTGCCACGAGCACGTCTCCGTGCTCGTGGCACCCTGTGTACTACTTGCGTACACTCGGCCGAAGGGCCGAGTGTATGCAAAGGGGCAACAAAAAGTGAGCGTTCGCCTCGGGCGCGAGGCGCCGTCAGCGAAGTCCGACGAGCCTCGAACAACGGGAGTCGACGGACAGAAAAAAGAATGTGTGCTCACCGTAAGCTGTCCCGGAGAATCTCTGACCCACTCCTGACGCACGTATGCGAAACCTCTCAAGAAACGCCGCGCGCGGCGCCACAGTCAACCTCAGCTACCGGGTGGGAGGGGTTAAACATCACTCCTCGCGCTCCCAGCGCGGCAGACAGTGGAGGTAGGAGTTGTGTCACGACATGAGAACGGCAGAAAAGGCGGGAAAGCCTGTGCAAAGGCAGCGGGCTAGCCTCAATTCCCACATCCCCCTCTCCTAAATTTGCCCTTTACCTGTCTGCAAAGGCAGCTTGACGTCACCCATGCAGTTAAATTGACACTGCTATGAGCGACAACTAACCTCAGTCCAGCCCTGTAACTGCTGCTAAAAAAATGATGAAACGAAACATTAATAACAAAATAAACACACAACACTATAAAAATAATTGCGAAAGGGAGCACAGGAAAGTAGGACTAGTGTTCGTGGTGCTTGGGAGGGATAGCGTCCACTGCGTGGAGGGGCGGAAGAGCGTGACGATGTCCGCTGGATGCGATGCTTGAGTGCAAGGTCCAAGGCACGAAAGGGGGCTCTCTGATGGCTCATTGCTGCTTTTGATGATTGGTCAGCGTGTCCGAC